GCGTGCCCAAAGCCGCGGCGAGCCCGCCATCAGCCAGCGCAGCAAGGGAGCCTGCGAGCAAGGTGCGGCGCGGCCTGCCCTCCCTCCTTCCCTCCTTCCCTCCATCCCATCCCTCATTCCCTCCATCCCTCCATCCCTCCTTCCCTCCATCCCATCACATCCCATCCCGTCCCATCCCATCCCTCCCTGCTTCCTTGCGGGCCCTGTATTCCCTCAGCTTCAGCTGGATCACAGCATCAGGAGCCAAAGAGCCTCCTCGCGGTTTGGGGCAGGATTCAGCAGCCTCAAGGGCACTGCCTGGCCCCCTCCCTGCCCCCGTTGGGATGAGTTGGCGTTTAGCAAAAGAAACTTGAGGCGAGTGGCGAGTGCGCTGGTCACGGTGACATCGCCCAGGGGATGCTCCTGCACTTACAGCTGGGTAAGGGACTGTGCTGTGCGGGAACTGCCTCTGGGCACCTCGGGCAGACCAGTGCCAGGTGGGTTAAAACCCTTGTAAAGGCGGATTTTTAAATGCCCAGGAGTAATTGGGATGCCTGCCTGCCTGCCAGGGCCTCCCAGCGAGTGCCAGCGGACACCCACGTCTGTCTTCCCTCACTGAAAAAGTAGGTCTCCTTGTCGCGTCTTATCCCATGGGAATGCTTGTAAAATAGTCGAAATGATTTCAAAACCGCCTTAAGTGGAGCCCAGGTCACACTAACCTGCCTAAATTTGGAGTGCAGCTTTCACTGTGTCGCAGTGACTCACACAGATGTAGCCCCTCTCTGTGGCTCCTGGCATGGGAGAGGTCGCGCTCCAACAGGCCACTGCCTGGGCCTGGGGCCTGAGCCGCCCTGGGGAGCAGGATGCAATTAGGGAAGACTGAAGCCCTGAGGAGAGGTTTGAAAACCCTCCGAGTAAGTGCGTGTGAAAGCTTCAGAATTTCAGCGCTATCATCATCGCCTCGCCCTGGTTCAAAATGCAGACAGGTAGCAGCTTCCTCCGTCCTTCCTGGCACGTAGTGCTTTGCGCTCGCAGCATTCACAGTTAGGAAGGCTTCTTCCCGAGCTTTGGCTTGGAGGCAGCACTCTAGGAGGAGGAGTTTCTGCTGCTTGGGCTCTGCTGGAAATGCTGGCTTCCTTCCGAGCAGCTTTGGGAGTGGGGTGGGTCAGAGCACCCAGCTGCGCTGCTTGCAGCATATCTCAAGGACAGCACTGCTGCTCCGCTGGAGGAGTGTGCTCATAAACACACTCTGTGTAGGGTCACAACCTCCACCTCCTCCTCCTCCTTCTTCCCATAACTTGGGCCAACTATGTCTTGCAAAACAGTGTTTGTGGATCACCCACTGTCTAAGGAAAGCAGGAAAGGCTGGGCAAGAATGGGGCTAAGCACTTGGCTCTTCCCCACTGTCACCTTGAGTGGCTTCGTTTGCTCAGAAAGTAGTGTCTGGAGAACAAGGGACTTGGGCTTCATGCTCACTGGGTGCTGAAGTTTCTCTGTGCAAATCCCGGGACTGTTGGGCCTGCGTCCTTTGGGGACAACAGGCAGGAGCCTTTGAAGTCTGAGAAGTG